AATGTCCTTAAATCTTTGTTAAGCGGTAGCGAGAACTAAGAACTGACTTTAATGGTATTGCTTGAAACGCCGATTGTCCTGAAAATAAATACTTTGAAAAACCCCATGGAATTATCTTGAAGCTATGGAAGCCTATTATTGCCACAGTCTATACAATATTATCACCTACTTAGATGATACCTACATCTACTTTCAACTAGAAATGATTTCATCGCAGATTTTAAATATATTTATCGGGACGGTGTGGTAGCCTAGTAGTAAAAGCGTCCGCTCGTCACGCCGAAAGCCCGGGTTCGATTTCCCAAACGTGAAGCTCATTTTTCGCTGTCCCCTGGACTATTGCTAAAAGCCAAAGTGTGCTAAAAAGCATGCTTACTCACTCACGTATATTTATGATAAGGTGTTCCTATGTAACGTACTCATAGACGGAGGATTGTTCATGCAAGCACTCCTCTGAGAAGCACATTAACGTAACGTGAAATGATCATGTTTATTGCAGGGGATCTCGCGTCACTGTCGTCTTGCAGTATAAAGATCAGTCTCATCCTTTCCGTGTCCCTATGTGGAAATGAGAAGCTTACGATTGTCTTCGCATTTAACAACCTTAAGCTTGCAACCAAGGCATAAAAGCGGGACCAGGTTGACTTGACATGATGTGATCATATTATGTTTTTAAAGGATGTGCTGTTTCTTTCACAAGGATATTGGGCGGTGGGGTAGTCTAGTTGTTAAAGCGTTCGCTCTCCACGCCGAAGACCCAGGTTCGATTCCCCGCATGAGTACAATGTATGAAGCCGATTTGCCCACGACGTTTCGTTCCCGAAACAAAGCGGTATAAATACATACTCACACACTACACAAGAATACTAACGGAAAGGTTATGCATATCAGAAAATGCTCTGAAGACTACTTGCTCAGCTTTGACGACCATATTCAGATACGCGTTTCCCGTACATATGCAAGTACGCACGAACGCATTCAACCACGTCTCACAGAAATATAGACATGGAAAAACGTTAAACACCACACTCACTTTATTTTCATTGAACATATATCAGTGTTTGTGTGGTTGTTGACCGCCTCCGTGGTCTAGTGGTTGAGCGTCCGCCCGCAGAGCGGAAGGTCCGGGGCTCGATCCCCGGCCGCGTCATACCAAAAGACGTTAAAAGATGGTACTTGTTGTTACCCTTGTCTGGCGCTCGGCATTAAGGGGCTAAAACAAGGACTGGTCGGCTCGGAGTCAGTTTTCTGTGTCTGAGTGGGGTATTCATGTTAAACTGCGGCATGGTATCTCAGTGAGCTAGCACTATAAATCGGCATCAGTCCGGACTAGTCAAGCAGCCACACACACACACACACGTGCATGCACGTCGCTATATAAGTGCAAAAATCTTGGACGCGACGTTAAACCCCATTTCACCTCACCTCACCTTGTGTGGTTGTTTGTTCACACAAACGGTCACATATTATGAACCATATGATAGGATGCAAACCAAACAGAGATTAGAATTGAAGGAGGAGTCTAATGACTACTAATTACAAAATATATATGTCATTAGATTATCAATTTCGCTTTCTCTATTTCAAAATGAGAATGTCATTTTGTAAACATAAACAAATGCTTTCGTCAGAAAATGACAAAGGTTTCGATTAAATAGAATATGACTATTTTACATGGAAACCTATAGTAACCGGTGCTGAACCTATTCCCGGGTGTGTACGTTATGTATGAGTGCAGACATAACGCATGGAAACTAGTTTTTGCGTTGGTTGTGTGCCCAGCTTAGATGGCTACTACATTTTTAGAACTAAAGAAAAACTCTACAAACGGATATACGGATTCCTTGTCAAAAGACTGCCAGCTGTATATTAGAAAGTTTATATCAGATTGATAAGTGTTATGTTTATCTAAATGCAGAAGTATTGGGGCCTTTTGGTCTTCGTGCCACCTACTCGTAACATAACTTTGTTACTTTGTGCGATGTGATGTAATTTATCATCCAAAACTGGCTCCCACCGGAGATATCGCTTGGGTAGGATCAAGCGATATCTACATTATAGATATCGCTGCAATGAAATTGCATCCCAATGCTTTGAAGACCACTGTTACGTCATTGGTTACCATGACGTCACAATCAAATGACATCACTAATGGCTCTGCAACTGAAGCTGTTAGCAGTACTTTTTACACTTAAGACACTGCTTTTTACTGTGTACAAACTGAAAAAGTTGGAAGAATGATGTTTGATGATAAATAATATCTCGCTTTGTTTCGACACTTTCATCAACTCTTGTTGATATATTTGATATCAAAAGACACTCTGTGAGATTCTCTATGTATAAGACACCTGCTCGATTTACCACGTGTGCTGCATTCCAGTTATAATGGTCGCCTACAAATCTGCCTTTGAAATTGTAATTGCAATACGATTATATCTGTACACAAGGACAAAAAGATAAAGCGGTAAAACCTGGCTACTACACTATGTGTATGATCAACCTTTGCCCTCTATATGTACCTCTCAAATGGAAAGGTACATGATATTATCAAATTGAAATGAAGTACTCCCATTTGCCTCTGCAGCTTTCCAGTGAGTGAGTGAGTATTGGTTTACGCAGATTTTAGCAATATTCCAGGAATATGACGGCGGGAAACACCAGAAATGAGTTTCACACATTGTATACATATAAGGGAATCGAACCCGGGTCTTCGGAATGCCGAGCGAATTCATCACTAGGCTACCCTACCTCCCTGGCAGCGTTCCTGACATTTCCAGAGAGTTGAAGAAGTTCCAGAGAGTGGAAAATTATTTTCTCGAAGCTATGACCGAAAACATATTCTGTTTACATAGATGCAACTGAACCTTTACTAGTCCGAATAGTGGCAACATATAAGGATACCCCATCAAAAGGCTGACATTCTGCTAGCCGTCAGGATACCTTAACCATTGGACAAATTGAATCGGCTCGCCGACTAGCGCCAAATTGCATCCCTGCTGTATTACAAAATCCTCACCCTATTTGATTTCCTAGTCTTACTTTTATTATTTGTGGTCCCTGGATGTTTGTGTTGCTGCTGATACGTGTGCTGTTAGTGTGTCTTTTTCAGGTGGACAATTTACTTGCCTTTGCATGTGTTTACGGGTGCCACCGGTGTGGCAGGATGTACGCTCGCCTTTTCGCGAAAAAACTTTGCTTGTGATTCTTGTGTTGTGAGTGTAGCTTGTGATTCTTGTGAAGTTAGTGTAGCTTGTGTTTCTTGGGTTGTGAGTGTAGCTTGTGTTTCTTGTGAAGTTAGTGTAGCTTGTGTTTCTTGTGACGTTAGTGTAGGTTGTGTTTCTTGTGTTGTTAGTGTAGCTTGTGATTATTGTGTTGTTTTTGTAGCTTGTGTTGTGAGTGTAGCTTGTGTTTCTTGTGACGTTAGTGTAGCTTGTGTTTCTTGTGACGTTAGTGTAGCTTGTATTTCTTGTGACGTTAGTGAAGCTTGTGATTCTTGTGTTGTTAGTGTAGCTTAAGTTTCTTGTGTTGTCAGTGTAGCTTGTGTTTCTTGTGTTGTTAGTGTAGCTTGTGATTCTTGTGTTGTTAGTGTAGCTTGTGTTTCTTGTGTTGTCAGTGTAGCTTGTGTTTCTTGTGTTGTTAGTGTAGCTTGTGATTCTTGTGTTGTTAGTGTAGCTTGTGTTTCTTGTGTTGTTAGTGTAGCTTGTGATTCTTGTGTTGTTAGTGTAGCTTGTGATTCTTGTGTTGTCAGTGTAGCTTGTGTTTCTTGTGTTGTTAGTGTAGCTTGTGATTCTTGTGTTGTTAGTGTAGCTTGTGTTTCTTGTGTTGTTAGTGTAGCTTGTGCTTCTTGTGACGTTAGTGTGGCTTATGATTCTTGTGTTGTTGGTGTAGCTTGTGATTCTTGTGACATTAGTGTAGCTTGTGATTATTGTGACATTAGTGTAGCTTGTATTTCTTGTGTTATTAGAGTAGCTTGTGTTTATTACTTTCGCTGTATTATTTGTAATGTTGCTTGTGTTATACGGAAGCATGTGCTCTGGGGTATCTTGTTTTCTTTTTTCACAGTGTTCGTGGAGCTGTTTGTGCTGCTATTCTTGCTGGTGTAGCAGATGGTGCTTGTGTTGTTGGTGATGTCGATGTTGTCGACACATGAGACCGCAATGCTATCTCCGAAGTATAGGATTAGCTTTGTCATCTTCAATGATTTCAAATGAAAATGTATCTGCTCTCCCAACAACACCGATTATTGACAAACTACCATCTTCCCGAGGCAAGTGACTTTAAAAGTCTAGTTCCCACCCTTGCCGAACTAGGCTGGAATTCCTGGGCTCGATCGTAGCGCCACCATTGGTTCTTACGAGTTATATCCCTTCTATGCCTCTCCTGGGGACCAATCAGATTCCACCTCGCGTATCACTTGCATTTGCTTCAAACAAAATGGGGGCGCCCAGTCAAGACGATCTGATCGATAATCAAGACCGATAACGTCTTCCCTCGCGAAGTGCATCAAATCACGCGAGCACCTTGATTAAAAACATGAAAAGACTGGCGGTGCACATGCTTTGCAAATCAAGCAATCGACCGAAATCTGCAGGACACTTTACTAACCGGATTTCGATTTCGTTGAGCGATTTTGATTGGACTATGCACAGACTCATTAGTCCAGCCAAAATGTTACTCCATAAAACCAGCCTAGTTCGGCAAGGATGGAAACTGGACTTTTGTAGTCAGCGAGCTCTCTTGCCTCGGGGAGATGGTGAATCGTCTAAACTGTTTCCTATTTAGATCTATGCATAAAGAGTCAGAGAGATGACACACTGTCCACAAGACTTTTTTATAAGAGGGGGGATATTCCAGTCGTCAAAGGTGCCGCAATTCTATGTGCAGAATTGCAGAAACCTTTGATGTGTGTTCGATTTGCCTTGATTATGTTCCAAGGTATGTCACCATACCCGTGCTCATGGGTGGTAACGGTCTAAGAAGTATAAATTAACTGAGACATATGAACTTTAACTTGTTTATAACTTATGACATGAACAATAACCTTACATGAACATCACCAGGGGGTTAAGATCCGCAACATCAGGGTTTGTTACAGGAGAGCAATGATTCAATTAGGGAAAATTATGGGCACAGTTTCAAAATAAAAACGAAACTTTAAGGCCCCCCTGCGAAATTGACAATGCAAGTCTTTCGCCTCGATGTCAACTGTATTTAGTTTTGTATAAGTAGAATCACTAGGTTGTTGTTATTGTGCAGCAACGTACGTCACATAAAACATTATCAAACAAATAAAAAATGTAATTATGTTTGTAAAAGTAATTTTTCGAATTGCTAACGTAATGTCTTCGTTGTTCGGCTCATCCTTTGAAAAATATTGTTTTACAACAATGTCAAAATCATGCCGTAAGAGAGGGCGGACGACGTTCAAATGAACTTCAGTCCTGGTCCAAATAAACAATCAACGGAAACTGTGACCAGTGCGTACTGAATGATAAATACATCCTTTCCACCAAATCATGTCGACAAACGGGTATATACAATAGACTCCCTCGATCTCGAACTCCTCAATCTCGAACTCCTCAAACAATCTTTACACACGTGCATAGTGGGAATCACTACCTGTACCTAGGATATCTAAACAAAAGATTCTAGCAGTATATAGTGTGTGCTAGTCCTGAGTTTTCGAACGTCTTAGTTCCTTTGTAGGCTTGTCGTGACCTTCTACTCCCATTGCGGTTTGCATCTTCGCAAGTTGGCTTTCTATTAGTCGCAGTCGTCGACACACTTGGTTTTGTGATACCAACATGGCGTCCACGACGCCGTTGACCCGCGTCATCACTTGACTGATCTCAATCAAACTGATTGAAGTGCCGTCTATCTCGGCCAGTGACGCGCGAGCCAGTCTCATCGTGCGCACAGCGTTGCGTAATTTCCAATTAAGTAGAGTATAAGTTGATATAGCCGTGTTGAAATGCCGCCTTCTTATCCAGATTCTTATGATCAACTTCACAACGTCGGCTGCAGCGTTCTTACGTTTATTCTCGAGGTGTATCCTTGTTAAGAAATTGTAAACATAACGTTCCGATCGGCTTTGCTCCAAACGCCGCGCAATGACAGCCACTAACAATGCGGTGGAGCCTAATCCCATTAGACCGGTCACCACAGCGATGAAACGTCCACAGTGGGTGCTTGGTGTAAGATCTCCGTACCCAACTGTCAGGAAAGTTATGGCGGACAGCCACATAGATTCTGTAAAGCTTGCGACCTGGGTTGTCTGGGTATAGTACAGTTCACATGTCCTCATTCCCCAGACACTCACTGTGTACATGGTTAACATTATAAAGGTTATTACCAACCCTGGGTGGTTGTTCATGGCGCACTTAAACACAAAGAATGGGTTTATTCTAACCGTACTCACAGCTCCAATACTCTGTGTAGAAGGATCTGTTAGAAGCCGACTATGCACCACCATAAACTTCCCGACAATATAAAGCCGGAACATCATTAACACGGACAGAATGCCGTCAATACTGGAAGACGTTTTTATACCGTGTAAAGAGTCCATGCCGACTTTTATATCTCCTGGAAATGGGTGAACGGCGCATACAAGAAGTTCAGCTACCAACATGACCCACGTATATACCGGCGTGACGACGAGGGGGTCATCCACGCCACCATCCACCATCCTGATCTCCATCCCCGTATGGTAATACATGCATATGGCCACCAACAGTACCAGTGTAGAGATGGAAGTCAGAGACTTTAGCACTATAGACACAGCAGTACCTTTCTCGTACATATTGGAGTAGTACAGTTCATTTTCAATCACCATGAACAGGATCCCTGATATAGCCATCACAAATTTGATATCCACGAGCCATCTTCGTCTCTGGATCAGCTTCTTCCTCAACTCAAGCCTCGTTCCCAGATTCCTCTCTTTCTTCTCTGTTTCCGGTCTCGGGGGACTCGTCGTACTGGACCTCGAGTTCTCTTCCATGTATTTGTAGCTGTTGGACTTGTCTGTGACCAGGGGAGTTGAAGGGCTGTCATCGTTCATGTCTATCTGGCGAATAGAAAACGTTACAGTACACATTGTCACAAAGGGCATCAAATACATTTAAAAACATGATTACAATTGTTTCCAAACCACTATTGTCAATACTTCTCTTGTGTATACACTACGTTATGGAGGAACGTAATGTGTAAACACACGTGACGTGTTGAGGATGCCAAATCACCGAAGTATACCTCTCGAATGTTCAGCCTGGTTTGGTGGGAGATAGAACACGGTGATTGGTGACTTACTCACAAGACCAATGGTTGAATCAATGAGCCAGGAGAGCTATAAGATGATTAGGTAACGATCCGGGGATAAGGTTGTGGAGGACATAAATCTACAGATAATTCAGTGTGAGCCAGCGCCTACAGGAGGCGGCGCTTTAGGCAGGCGGTAAGGACGGGAAAAGAGTTAAGACAGGTGGCGTTAATATACGTGACCTAACGGCCAACATTACAGGGTGCTGGTTCATAGGACGATGTGGAGATTATTCCTCTTAATGAACGAACGTGCTTGCTACTTAACCTACATCGTTAGTGAGTGTGATAGTGTATGAATAATGTTTATAAAGGCATTGATGTACTTGGACGAATGTACTTGGTTAAAGTTCGCTAAAACAGGACTAAAATGAATTACATGATATCGGTCTAAGGGAGGATACCGGGTACATGATCTAAAGGAAGGTTGCGGGGTACACAGTCTAAGGGAAGGTGCAATATATAAATATATATATTTATATATACTGGAAGGTGCGAAGGTGCATGATCTAAAGGATAGTGGCGGGGTTATGATCTAACGGATATGGGCAAGGTGCATGGTATAACGGAAAGTGGCGAGCTGCATGGACTAAAGGAAGGTGTTGGGGTACGTGGTTATTGGCAAAGTGCAAGAAACATGGTCTAAGGGAAGGTGTAAGGGTACGTGGTTATAGGCAAAGTGCAAAAAACATGGTCTAAGGGAAGGTGTTAGGGTACGTGGTTTTAGGCAAAGTGCAAGAAACATGGTCTAAGGGAAGGTGTTGGGGTACATGGTTATAGGCAAAGTGCAAGAAACATGGTCTAAGGGAAGGTGTTGGGGTACGTGGTTATAGGCAAAGTGCAAGAAACATGGTTTAAGGGAAGGTGTAAGGGTACGTGGTTATAGGCAAAGTGCAAAAAAACATGGTCTAAGGGAAGGTGTTAGGGTACGTGGTTATAGGCAAAGTGCAAGAAACATGGTCTAAGGGAAGTTGTTGGGGTACATGGTTATAGGCAAAGTGCAAGAAACATGGTCTAAGGGAAGGTGTTGGGGTACGTGGTTATAGGCAAAGTGCAAGAAACATGGTCTAAGGGAAGGTGTAAGGGTACGTGGTTATAGGCAAAGTGCAAAAAAACATGGTCTTAGGGAAGGTGTTGGGGTACATGGTTATAGGCAAAGTGCAAGAAACATGGTCCGAAGGAAGGTGTTGAGTACGTGGTTATAGACAAAGTGCAAGAAACATGGTCTAAGGGAAGGTGTTGGGGTACGTGGTTATAGGCAAAGTGCAAGAAACATGGTCTAAGGGAAGGTGTTGGGGTACGTGGTTATAGGCAAAGTGCAAGAAACATGGTCTAAGGGAAGGTGTTGGGGTACATGGTTATAGGCAAAGTGCAAGAAACATGGTCTAAGGGAAGGTGTTGGGGTACGTGGTTATAGGCAAAGTGCAAGAAACATGGTCTAAGGGAAGGTGTTGGGGTACGTGGTTATAGGCAAAGTGCAAGAAACATGGTCTAAGGGAAGGTGTTGGGGTACGTGGTTATAGGCAAAGTGCAAGAAACATGGTCTAAGGGAGTGTGTTGGGGTACATGGTTATAGGCAAAGTGCAAGAAACATGGTCTGAGGGAAGGTTTAAGGGTACATGGTTAAAGGCAAAGTGCAAGAAACATGGTCTAAGGGAAGGTGTTTGGGTGCGTGGTTATAGGCAAAGTGCAAGAAACATGGCCTAAGGGAAGGTGTTGGGGTACGTGGTTATAGGCAAAGTGCAAGAAACATATATACGGTATAAAGGAGCGCATAACCCGTTGTATTAATTTGACGCATCTATTCACAGGCCTATTTCAGCAAATCGCTTTAGTGCAAGTACTACTGATGTAAGTCCCGAGTTGAAGCAAAGCACACACTCTCCAGATATTTTATGTGTACACATATCACCAGTAAGTGGCTGGTTGCAAGGTGAGGGCAGCATCAAGTGCGACTACCAACATCTCACGAAACGACCAACGTCACCTCTGTCTGGCTTATGTCTTGATGGATTAAAAACGCCGACTATAAAGTACGGGGTTTTATTCCATATTATATATCGATGATAATGAACGATAATTTGCGTTGTGTGATGTCCGACTGTCTTCTGGATAATAATATACATAGATGTTGTACTATGTAATTCTATGGCCAATTGTCGATCAGGTAAATGCTCTAAAGAAAACGTTGAATTACGCTGTCAGATTCACAGATGTCGTATTTTGTGATAAGAAGGCGAATTGTCAGTCAGGTTTATATATGATGTATCGCGTGGTAATCGTGTATATTGCCACCTAGATATATACACTCTTTAAAAAAAGAAACGCACAGGTAGAGTCTTAGTAAATTTATTGTACCTAATAAAGTCAATATATTTGATTTAATATCATTGTCATGTCACATAAGGCCACAAGGTGACGCTGAACTCAATATCTCGTGTGACCAACCGGGGCAGCAATCACGGCTCTGCATCTCTTCGGCACTGACTGGATAAATGTACGAATTCTGTCCTGCGGAATTCTGCGCCACTATGCTTGTAACGCGTTGCCCAGTTGAGGGAAAGTCTTCGGCGTGTTCTGACGTTGATGTACACGTCGATCGAGTTCATTCCAGAGGTGTTCGATTGGAGTGAGATCTGGAGATCTCGACGGCCTGGGCAAGTGGTTGATGTTCCATTATGAAGGCAGTCTACCATGACACGAGCTGTGTGCTGTGGAGCTTTGTCCTGTTGAAACAGCTCCCTCTGGAGGTCAATGATTGGAAGAAGGTTCGGTTGAAGAATTTGATTCATTTAGCGATTTGCTGTCATATTTCCCTGAACCACAACGAAGTTAGATCTCCTGGTGAAGGATATGGCCCCCCCACACTATGACACTACCGCCACCGAAATTGTCGAATTTACGTCCACAATGCGGGTCAAAACGCTCATTTCGACGACGATAAACACGTTGTCTTCCATCTCGCCGGTAAAAAGAAATCGTGATTCATCGCTAAACCACTCTCTTCTCCAGTTTCTCCAATTCCATGGCTGTAAGGTATGGCACCTACCAATCTCGTTAAAATCAGATCTTAGTCCTCGCAGTCGCTACGTGACCCGTAATGGGATGTCCTCAGATCTATTTTTTAGCGGCAGCGAGAGCTTAGATCTGATTTTAATGAGATTGGGCACCTATGCAAGCGTCGCTGTCGATGGATCTGTTGCAAAACAGGGACGATAGCTTGTCTTCTGGGTCGAATTCCAGCCTCGCGAAGATGATTCCTGACAGTCTGGTCCAATATCCTCCTCAAACCAGGGATGCGTCCTGCAGTGTCCGTAGCTGTGGAATTGCGATGACGTAGGTGGAACAGTCGAATGTAGCGATCCTGTGCAGGGGTGGTAACTCTTCGTCGGCCGGTTCTCGGACGGTCTGCAGCGGAATGGAACTGTGTGTTTCGGTCCCAAATGCGGCTAATGGTGCTATGGTGGACGTTGAAGTGGCGTGCAACAGAAGACAGCGATTCCCCTCTTTGGATACGTTCTATGGCGATGTTCCGATCGGCAGCGCTGAGTCTCGGCATTTTCGAACTTGAAAAATGTTTACAATTGAATGACAAATTATTAGCTAATGCTTGCCTTTTTATAGCAACTACCACGAGTTACGAATGCCATAACTTGCACGTACATTTTACTTTACTGTTTTCCTCCATGACATGTTTGAACAAGTGTAAAAACAATGCCGTTTAAGACATTGCAATGGACAGTGGTTGCGTTTTGACGCACCGTTTGTCGAATATCAGGCCGATAACATTTTCCAATAACATTTATCCAACTTATATACCGGATTTTTTGTGTAGTCAGTTTTACATGAACTACGTACTACATGTGAGCTTCTTTTTTTGAAGAGTGTATGTTCTATTGTGCGATGGTATACTGTCAGTTCCTAGGAAAACACGATTATCAACTGCTTCCAAAAAAACATTGTACTGTGACAAAATTGACAAATACCAATGAGGTCCCGAGGTTTTAAAGAAAATTTTGAATTTGTGAGACAAAATGGTCAACTGTCAATCAGGTTTATATGTTTTATAAGAAAACCTTGCATTGCGTAACAATTTGTCAATTATTAACCAGTTTTTTTATGTTTTCACAGGAAAGCTTGCACTGTGTGACAAAGAATTACCAACTGTCAATCAGGTTCATAAGTTTGGAAAATGTGACAAATGTGACAAAATTACCAACTGACAATCTGGTTTATGTATTTGTAAAGCCAATATTGCATTGCTTGACAAAATGGCCAACTGTCAATCAGGTTTATAAGTTTTCACAGAAAAGCTTTCACCTGCATGACAGAAAGGCCAACTGTCAATCAGGTTTATATATGTTTGCAGGTCAATCTTGCATTGTGTTGCAGAATGACCGTCAATGTGTTGTATGTTCTCTTACGAACACATTCAGTATCGTTTGACAAACGTGCCTACTGCCCTTGAGGTCCATATGATGATTTAAAGGAAAATCTTGTATTTGTGTGAAAAAGATATCCGATTGTCATTATGAAAGAGGTTGGAATATACGTTAAGTTCTGATTCTTTGTGAACCACGAAGTAAGAGTTAAACAACCGTTGCCTCTTCTAGTGCCAACTTGCACCACAAGTTGATATTCGGTTATGTGACAGAACTTGTGAATATTGTATACCAGAATAGTTCATGGTGTGCTGGGAAAGAAAGTTGCCGCCAACCCAATACTATTCATCAACAGAATCCATACAGACATAATAACGTATGCATGGCGACAGTTGGTTCTTCCATATACTCCGTGATACGTTACTCTTTAAAGAGATGTTGCAAATTCAAGAGCACCATAAAACATTATTGGACCTATTGGACACACACACGAGTAGATAGTTGTCAGCCAGATGTTGAAGATATAAAAGTAACTGTTATTATACAGGCATGGTTTAAGCCATATACCTTTTACTTTAAATATCGATTTTCATCTCGCGAGAGGCTGTTTGAAGATGACGTGGGAGTCAAGAAGGGCACACGAACATGTACAACTGTGCAGGGAGGGAGTAGTCTCCCGTCTCCTGATTACTGAGTGGCAATGTGATCGACGAAAACATCAATTTATACATAATAATACTGCACCTTAACGACACATATTTTATATCGTGTGTATATTCTTGTTGTATCTCGTGGCATGGGTGGTCGGTCCAATCAAGGCGCTGGGAGTGGCTGCGCATGCCAGAAACCTTTGACAGTGGGTTCGAATCCTAGATTCGCCTTGCTCATGTTTCTAGGTTTGTCAGTATCTTACCCGTGCTCGTAGGTTTCACCAACGTGGCAAACGTTTAAGACCTACAACACTTCAGACTTTCCGCCCACATCAAGTTGACAGGCCGAGATATAAATTAATACTGTTCAAAGCAGCGTAAAACGGTACTAATCAAACTGGCCTCGAAGAATGGCATGTTTAAATCAATCATTTCTGGCGTACACTGTGTCTTGGTCCAGTTAATGGGATATACGTCTTTAGAAAGGAAGTGTATTCATTGTACTAAATAGGGACCGGTATCAGCAGGAATGTAAAAGAATACGTCTGAATGATTTTGGGGTTTGGGGGGAAAGTTATTGAAAGTAATTTTCATATCAATAGACAATACATCCAGCATATTTCAAGCCTTACCCTTGACCCTAAAACATTTTTATGACATTTGTAGAGCCTAATACATGTTCATGCCTAGCCATTCCTGACCACCTTGTTTCATAAAAAAGGGGGCACTAGGGTATTGTTAACCTGTAAGGCTAACGGTTTAACAGCGAGTGTGTGGCATCATGCCAGTGTCAGTGGATTTGATAGCAACGGTTTTAGAAACATACAATTAAATGTTCACGATTTACCTTGACGATGTCATCCTGGAAATTGATTTCAATCTGTTTCTGTATTAACTCATGCGTCTGACGTCCGATCAACGTGCTCCATCCACGTATTACTAATACATACAACTCACTCGCTGGCTAGGCGCCAAACTCCGACTTTCAAGACATTTAAAGGTATATGTTAAGAATAAGGACAATGTAAAAATCGATCCTATTTATTCGTTTGTGTAATAAAGTCAGTTCTCACACCGTCAAAGGATCAGGAACCACACCTTGTGTTCACAGTACTAGGTTATTCACGGTATCTATTGATCAAGTGAGGTTGCTGAGCCAATAACTTTGAGTACACAAATGATGCGAGATGAGGAGATGAGAGACAAATAACAAACTTACCTTTCGGCATAACATCAAGTCTTATATCCATGCCATGTCTCTTGGAGATCTTCACACGTAAAGCCCGAGCTATGGAAGTCAAATGGTGTCCATACCATGTAACTGTTGCTTCAGTTCCCGTAGCGGCACTCCAGCCCACGCTATAGTGATGGCGATTCCTTGACATCGATGTAGGCCCGCCTGTGACGGCACTCGTTGTACGGGCACCAGCTGTTGCGGTCAGGATCAATTATACACTAAGTACAAGCTTGTGCTGCTGGGGGCCGAACCGCGGGGGACTGCCCACCACCCCCTCCCAAGGAGGCTGACCGAGGACGGAGAGTAGTGATTTCTAATTAGCCTGAGAAGTGACCACCAGGTGACCCTGGGCTTCAGGCAGCGTTAAATTCAATTTTGTTAACAATTGTTGTGCGTAATTCGGTAATGAAAGGATTCGTATATAGGTTACAGTTTGTTGAAAAAAAAGAAAATATACCGAACAACAATAGCTCCTGTGACATTGAATAAGATTAATGCAAAGTTGTTGTTTTTTACCAAATCTGAAACAATTTCGGTTTGCAACAGATAAAAGACTCCTGTAAGTGTTCAAGTGGTTTAATTTACCATACTGACTACAGAAAATGCGTGATTTCATTAAAAAAACATGAACATGCCAAAATGTCAATTTACAAATTAATAGCGTGTGTGTCCACCTCTGGTTGCGATGCAAGCAACACATCTCATTGAATGGACCAGGCGTCGCACAAAGTCCTGTGGGATATCTGTCCATATCTGCTGGAGCATGTTTAGAAGTTCCCGGAGTGTCTGTGGAACACGTGGTTGATGTCGAAAGCGCCGATGCATCTCATCCCACATGTGTTCGATTGGTGAGAGATCAGGGGAGAGAGCCGGCCAGAAGATGACATTCAAGTTGTTTTGTTGAAGAGAATCCTGAACGAGTCGAGCAATATGAGGTCAGGCGTTGTCATGTTGAAAGGTAATGCCTGGGCCATGACGACGCAAAAACGGTAGAACAACAGGCCGATGATCTCGTCGCGGTAGCGCTGTCCATTGAGTTTTCCCTCTACCACTATCAAACGGGTCCTCAGTCTTGCTGTAATCCGACCCCATACCATAAGGCTGCCGCCCCCGAACCGATCTTCTTCCATGACACAATGATTGACGTAACGTTCACCTCGACGTCGGTACACTCGAATCCGTCCATCGCTGTGGCTGAAGTGAAAACGAGACTCGTCAGTGAATAGAACTTGTCCCCACGGCATGGCCATTCAGCGTAGACCACTGTAGACGTGCTTGACGGTGGTTTCCTGTCAAAATGGGACGTCTGGCGGGTCTTCTGGCGACAATCCCTGCACATCTGAGGCGACGACGTACTGTTTGTGAAGATATTCGTCGAAGGCCAGGGATACTTCTTGCAGTCACTGTTGCTGGCTGGAATCGGTGTGTTGTTCGAATCCAGTTGTCTTGTCGATTATTGGTTACGCGTGGCCTGCCAATCCGAGGATGGTCTCTGACTGCATTTGTCTGTTGCCAACGTTGCCATGAACACCAAATGGTGTTTCTGTGGACGTTAGATTGTCTTGCAACATCACGTTGACTCGATCCTGCTTCAAGCATACCAATGGCTCGCAGACGCTCATTTTCGGAAAGGCTTGGCATTTCGTAATGTTGAATAATTGCGTAATTCTGTTGTTTTTCTGAGTGGTTGTTGTCAGCACGATGCTAAACAATGCATATGGAATCCCGTTAACGCACATGTTTTTATATCTATTCTTGGGTAGTGTAATGCATGGGGCTTGCATAAAAGTAAACCTTTGCATGGAATGCATGCTTTTCTGTAGCAGTTGCGTTTTTGTGACTTGATTCCATACATGTACTACAATATTGAAAACCAAACTTTACTTGTTTGAAAAATACACTAAAATATTGGTGTCACAAGAACTTTTGTTGTTGAGTATATCTATATACGATGTTAATTGACATGCGTATCGTATGGATTTAGAACAATATACGGGAGCTGATTAAATGTACTAATATGTAGTTATTACAATGAGTGATTTTAATTAAATTCAACGTAGAGTGACACAAACGTAGGCGAGCGGGATGGGTTTAAGCGCCGCTTTGAACATTATTTCAGTTATATGAAGATGTGTCAGCTCAGGGAGAAAAGCTGTTTTACCACTTCGTCAAACCCACAAGCAGGTGAAATGAGAGCCCAAGATGGCTTTTATCTCCACTACATCATTACCTATCTGGAGACCGCCTCCGTGGTCTAGTGGTAGAGCGTCCGCCCGGAGAGCGGAAGGTCCGGGGTTCGATCCCCGAACGCGTCATACCAAAAGACGTTAAAAGATGGTACTTGTTGTTACCCTGTCTGGCGCTCGGCAATAGGGGCCTTAAACAAGGACTGGTCGGCTCGGAGTCGGTATACTGTGTCTGAGTGGGGTATTCATGTTAAACTGCGGCATGGTATCTCAGTGAGCTAGCACTATAAATCGGCATCAGTCCGGACTAGTACAAGCAGCCACACAAACACACACACGTACATGCACGTCGCTATATAAGTGCAATAATCTTGGACGCAACGTTAAACCCCATTTCACCTCACCTCACCTATCTGGAAGTGGACGGGCGCAGTCAATGTACAAAGCCCTCGTAAAATCTCTCTCCACACCCGTGTGGAGCTTGATGTGTTCCTGTGAAGTATGGGCCTTTCGGGATCACCAAGGATCACTTCCGCCAATTATGATCCCATCGAAATCAAATACAGAGACCCAGAGGCCATATTTTATCCCCCAACTATTACTATCAAAACTGACTGTCACACTGTCGAAATATCAAATGGGTACAGTTTGAAACATTTATGTTTTATACCCAAAACTAAACAGCAACAACATTTATAATGCCGATTGCCGAGGGTCCGCCCATTTGATAGACTGGCCTGGGATTTTTGTTTGAAAGGAATATCTTTTCAATCAACGTTAACGTTCAAGGGTCGAAAGGGTTTTAAACGTCGTGTTCAAGATATTGCACTTGTGTAACTACGTGCATGCCCGCATTTAGCGACCAGAAGTGGGACACGACAAGAACTGGGATAAACACCATAGAGAAGTAAATGTGTCGCATATGCAACTATGTATTTAATTGACAAACAGTTAATAAGAGCAAAATCACCTCCACTTCTTGTATTTTTTAATTTAAACTCCGATTTGCAAAGTGCGTCAATGGCAGTGCTACTGACTCGATGTCCGCACACGGTAGCTAAATATAGCAGCGTATAAAAAAGTGGTAAAGCGGAACTAAAGCGGAATACTATTATTTTTTTATACAGATCTCCAATGGATAAGTGCAAATTCGTATAAAAATTGTCGTGTTGCTTATTATCTATAATTACTTCCCATTGCCATGTTTAATTTATAACCATGATATCACTCCCAAATGGCCGCTTGTACTAGTCCGGACTTAGGCCTGAGGATAAATGATTGTATTCCAGAATTCTTGGGTACATATTATTCTTTTAAAACAATCAAAGTCTGACCAACCGACACATTACAAGAATAGGTTCTGCATTTTGGCTCATTCTGAACCGGAATCCCCCAAGGCTTGCGAAATGGAAACCACATGAATTAAATATTATTATTCTAAGTTGATTTATGCCCTGTTCCCATACACCTGTTTGCATATCCATGAAAAGATACATAGGTACGTACATTAAATATGAACGCTTGTGAAATTATGTCATGCGAACGCAATTGCATACACATTTGCGCCAGGGGTAATTTACATCAAGTCGAGAGGTTGTGCAAATGTAAAGGTAACATTTACACATGTGCAGTATACACAATGAATTATAGTCACCCCTGTGGAATATTTTAGAGTGGGTAAAACTCAGGCATCGTAGACACATATCCGATATTTATGTTTCTAAAAATATACCGATGACCGCAAAGACCCTCAGTATCAATGAATACCAAGCCTAGCGATAAAGGTAATCTCTATGTGTCTCTCTTTGTCCAAATTTAGGGATATGAGGTCCGTTGATTGCACCTGTCACAGTTGATGACCTTTGCCAAACCAACCTCACATGGCAAGGAGACATAGTATAGAGCCGGACATTCATCAGATATTCTCAAAACAAATCACACACGTTGACTCTTGCCAACACCTAAAAGGTTTCCCAGAGTTCAGTATTCCGATGCTAACCTTCTTCTCTACTGGCATTTGTTCTCTTACCCAGTAGTCACTAGGTTTCAGGTGCTCCTTGACTTCAGCATACGTGTGTGCATACCACAATTAGCATACCATTCATTGTCAATACCATTATGGTACATACTTTCGCACGGGAAATACGGAAAATATGGTATATAATATTTATTTGCTAAACCTTGGATAATGTTTCACAGTCTGCCTTACCTTCGATGATGACGTAGTGCCGCCGTACACGTTGCTGGTGGTCACATATGGCTTCACAGATTATGTGTGGGAACCACAATAGCAGAAGAGTTTTCACGCTATGGTGTCTGGGTCATTAGACTGGCGCTACATGGCTTTGATAAATGTGACAGTGTGGACGCACCTGTACTGAATTCAGTTATTAATTGGGTAACTGGGACATTACGAAACCCGTCTCTGACCATGGGATGAGGAATGATGATTGTATGTTTCTATCAAAGTTCATGCAGCCCACGCGATTTCCGGGGAAGAATGGGTCCCCTGAGTTTCATGCTTGTCGTAAGAACCTACTGATGAATGTGGCCTGGCTAGGCTCGGTGACGTGAATGCGTGTCACCCTGACATGGATCGTATGGTATGGATCTATTGTAAGTAACTGAGGCGCCAAGACATGGAGTCTAAACTGAAATTTACATACCTAATTGTCCGACACAGTAGTAAATTAAAAGTCAGCTATCAACATATCTCTAATATCGTGTGTTAGCCACAATCAGCATGAGTCCAAGCAACACAAAACTTTCCATAATCATAGTGAGCCTTCTGATGACGTCATTGTGAGATGCGTTGCCATTCTCTGCGCTGTCTCTGAGTGGTGGCTGCTGTCTCAGTCGAATCAGGCGGGCAAGATGCTCAATAGGTGACATGTCTGGAGAGCGTGCAGGCCATGGCAGGACGTTCACGTTATTGAGGGTGAAGAGGTCCTGACAGAGGCGTGCA